AATAGAAGAGCGGAAAATGCTTGGTTTTCGGCACTCGTGTATTCCATTTTGTGAGTTTTTATCTTCAAAATGGTCTGCTCGTTGAAGAAAGCTGTAAACGCAGTATTGTTGTTTAGTACCTTCTAGTAGTACAGATAATTTTTTGGGTGAACAAGTACTGAACGAAATCAAACATATTCACTACGTATATACAATAGAGTCAACAATTATTTGCAACAGCTTCGCTCAGAGTAAATGACCGTTTGGGAAACAGGGTGAATAACGGTCGAGGAATTCCTCGACCATCGCTCTCTGCTGTGCGAGAGTAGTGCCGAGAGTGAATGTACGCGCGGAGAGCACAGACGGCTCGCGCATGGCGAGAGTGAATGTCCGCGCGGAGAACGTAAAGGATCAGGCGAAAATCCTCGACGTGCCGTTGAGGAATCCTCAAGCATATTCACCTTCTTGGGAAATCCCCAAGGGGGTCCAATTTGTGATTTATGGATGGGGTTGGTGGTGATATCATTTGAAGGGGTCGTGTGTGTAGTGGAGAAGGTGGTATTGCCGAGATTGGAAAGTTCCTTCACACTTTCCATGGGGTAAGTGCTGGAAGGGAAGGTAATTTGTAAAATTTGCTGTTTCAGAAGTTATACCCACCTTGCGTCGCTACCTCACTCCTTTCAGGGTCAACCATAACGTTGCTGAATTCCCGTTTTTATTTGAGCCGAACGCTTGAACGTGGCTCGTACGAGGGGCATTAGCGTTGAAGAGGGCAGTGCCGATAGTAGTTTCGTCATTGCAGAAATCAACCGACAGGAAAGGTGTTTTATTTTTCGAGGGGCCGTTTCTCATTTTTTTCATCCCTGCACCAGAGACCACTTCCACGCTCTTTCTAATGAGCTGCCTTTTCATCGCGAAATCCACCTAATTCTAATGGGCTGCCTTTTAGTCGTACATTTTCCTTCGGAATCCGATCCGAATGAGATCACGTGCTATGTGGACACCTAATGCAGGTGCCCTGTTAAAGGTTTCTACTTCCACATCAACGGGTTGGAGCTGTGTCAAAGTTCTGTCATGCATTTACCACTGATGACTAGAGTGCGAGACGAGTGGAGTCTTCCTCTTCCTCCTTTGGTTCCCCGAAGGAACTTGCGGAACAATATCGTTACTGCGGATGCAGTGGACTCCATGATCCGGGCAGGGTTACGTCACCCGCTACGGGGAGTGTTCGTGTTAACCCGGGAACTTTTCACCTTTAGCATTGAAGTTAGCCCTCTCCGCTGTGATTGAGGGCGGATTCTGATAGAGAAACAGGAGAGCTATGCCCTCCTCCCGACCAGCAGCAACAGCTGCTGCTCTGCAATCACCTGGTGTACAAATAATACAATTCAAATGTGAACCTCGAGATCGACCTCACCACCTTTTCCATTTCGAAAATGCCGACCCTTGGAGCAAGACTTTGATTCATTGGTCTGTGTTTGGCAACAAGTACCTGATAGTGGCGGGGTGTATGTACATGGATACTGCTTTTTGCCCAAATGATGATTCAAAAAAATTTAAAAAAAAACGAGCGAACTTTTGTGGCAACCCACTACTAAGAAATTGCTATAAGTGCTGAACATGGATGAATTGTGTAGATGATCACTCTGAGACTTGAGAGAAACGGCTTGTAATAAAAATTTCTTTCCTTTTTCAAACTAACATATTGGTGTACCAGCATACTTGTGAGCGATTTTTTTCACTGAGTTTGGGTGGCTGTATCGTATTTTGAGGTGTAATTGGTTTTGTAGTTTCGATTTGTTATCGGTGTTGCTGAACTTTTATTACCAAAATTGTGGCGATATAACTTATCTCAATGTTTTCTCATGTGAGGATCTTCTGTATGCATTTGTTCAGTCATCGAACTTGTAAGATGATTCTATTACAAGCTGTCCAGCATAGCAGCCGAAAGTGCACATGGCGTGCATTGACATTCACCACTTACCGAACTATTTCTTTGCCGAATGGTATGTTAATTAGTGCTGCCCAGTGTTGAATTGGTTTTGTTATTGTTTCAGTCTCATTCGTTGCGAATGTCTCCCATGCCAAGAGAACGGCGTCGACTGTGGATGGTTCATGGGTCTTTACGCAGAACGGTTTGTAAAAGATATGAGTTGGATGGTACGTGCAAAGCCTGTTATTTCGAACTCTGCATTGGAAAACTCACTAAAACTCCAAGCTACTAAGGTAACAAAGAATCGGAATTGCGTGGGGAGGGAGCGGTCGTCAACACTGCAAGCTCATGAGGCGATATACAGATTTATACACGGAGGGGGGGGGGGCAAAAAAAGAGTCACTTCTCTCCACATTCAAAACGCAATTAATCTCGAACTGCGAAACCAAATCAAATGAGCCCAATTGCATATTAAAGAGCACATTCAAGTCTATCAAAAGGTTACATGACAGCCTTCTACACAGACGACATCAGAAGATTTTCCCACGGAAACATGGTTCACGGTACGAGCTCAACGACGTCGTCGAGGTACCATAGACCATTACGACGTCCCTGAAACGCCGGTCAAAAGCGGTCTTGCACAGTCACAGCTAGTGTCTCTTGTGAAAAGCTATTC